TCGACACCGCTCGACACCGCTCGACACCGCTCGACACCGCTCGACACCGCTCGACACCACCTCGACACCTCTGATGATCCTAATACAGCAGAGACGTAGACCCATTTGGAGTCACAGAGTTAGAAAATCAGGGTTGCAGCAGCAATCAAACTTGGCTAGTACTTTCATCCCTCAGTTGCATGGGCCCTGCCACCTGACACCTCTATCCTAGCCTCTATCGGTGGAGGGCTTTAGGTCACGGTTCACACTCCCGCCCTCCCGCCCGACCCCACCGACACCCCTACAGCGGCACCCCACCCCTCCCGCCGTTCTATCTAGGGCCTACCCACCCGCACTCCTCCTGCGCTTTGGTTTCCCCTAGCGACAGATGTAACGCCCCCTCTACTTGGAGCTAGGTCTTCTGAGGGACAGTTCCGTGTACCGAATTGCCCCTTAAGAAAACAGACAACCCAAGGGAGGGATGGGAGGACGGCACGCCGCCACCACACAGGAATTTTAAGGAGAGGAGTGTATGGTACTAGCCGTCGCCCACCCTTGGGCGTCTGCCTCTTACCTACCTCTCTTTGCAGTCTCTCGCCAATTCTCGCAGCGACCTTCAAGCTTTCATGCCGCCTCGCGGTCTTCCCACTCTCGTCGTTCTCTAACCTTCCTGCCGCTTCATCCTCTGACTCATCGACATCGTTCTCCTCGGCCTCTCGTTCTGCGACGCCGCCGCTGCCTGCCGATCCCTTGCTGTCTCGGCTTCTCTCGCCTCTCGGCGTAACTCCGCTCTCCTCTCAGCGTATTTTGGCCCCTCGAGCCCGCTTGTAAAGATGGGAGGAGGCAGGGGGTCCTCCGCTAAACAAGGGAGGGATGGGGGGACGGCACGCGGCCACGTCAAAGGCATTGAAATTGGCGTCTTGGCTTTCTTTTGTTCGGTGTACCTGTGTTAGTGCCAGTGCGCGCCAGTCCCGTGCCCAGTGTTGTGCGAGGGAGTTTTGTTGTAAAAGAAAGAAAACAGACAACCCAAGGGAGGGATGGGAGGACGGTAAGACGCCACCACACAGGGATTTTAGGGGAGAAGTGTGGTGTTAGCCGTCGCCCACCCTCGGGCGTCTACCACTTCCTATCTCTCTCCGCAGTTTATCACCAATTCTTGCAGCGACCTTCATGCCACCTCGCATTCTTCCCACTCTCGTCGTTCTCTCTCCTGCTGTCTCTTCTCCTGACTCATCGCTCTCCTCGGCCTCGTTCTGAGACGCCGCTGTCGTCTGCCGATCTCTTGCTCTCGCTGCTTCTCTCGCCTTTCTGCGTAAGCTAACTCCGCTCTCCTCTCCGCGTATTTTGGTCCCTCGAGTTTATCGAGCATTCCTCGCGCAAGGACCACATTTCTGACTCCCACTGCGAGCATATCCCGCCCTGTCATGTCGTTGCTCAGGTCCACTCTCGTTTCGAGCACTTGTACCTCAATGGTCGGTGTTGGCACTGGGGTTCCCTTCGGGTATATTGTGACAGCTGACGGCGGGATTTCCACTTTTGTTTCGTCCTCCTCGGGGTCGTCTTCCCCGGCTTCCTTGCGTTCGGCGTGGCTTACCCTCGAGTGATTCTGAGATCAGGTTGGGCGACTGGCAGACATTTCAAAAATTTGGCGCCGCAGGCGCCCGCTGCGTGCCCACCATGGTTGGGCGCGCAGCGAAGAAAATTTTGCGCTCTCGACAGCCTTTTCTAATAGGAAAATGGCCTCTACTCGGCGCCATACCGCTTGTCGGCGCACAGCGGAGTTCGCAAGCCGGACCTGCTGCCTTCCCTTCTACGTACACTTTCAGAATGGAGGCTCAAACGCAGCGCAGGGCTCAGACCAAGTGCAAGTCGATTTGTACCACAAAGTTGGTAGACAGTGCCAAAACCGCGGAACCGAAAATGGCGTTTAATTTCGCGCACCTGCTGTCCGCCGCCTGTGGCGGCGCTCCGCACCGCTTGAGGCGCCTGCGGCGCCCCTATATTCTTCTCTCGTTCCTCTGCCCGTGCCTTGGTCTTGTCGTTGTTTCGCACCCATGTCTGTATGGCCATCGAGGCTGCCTTCCCCACTACCTGTAGTTCACTCGTCACCTCTCCCGCGAGCCACCCTCTCTTTCTTTCGGTTATGGTGTCCGTGATAAATAAATACAACGGACACGCCAAACGAGGGGTGGGAGAAGGACAGGGTCCCCACCTGCACGAGCAGGATCTTGTAAGGACGATCAGGTGAAAGAAAGAAAGAAAGAAAACAGACAACCCAAGGGAGGGATGGGAGGACGGCACGGGTGAGTGCGGGCAGCGTAGCATAGCGAAATTCTTTTGTCGCTCATTTCCCATGTCCCTCTCTCTCCTGCTCGTTACAGCAGGGCCTGGCCTGAACGTGCCGCACCACGTGCCGCTCCGCCACGGGCGGCCCGTTGCCGTTCGCCTCGCCATCGGTGAAGTGCCGGAAGGGTTTTTGGGCGAGGAGCAGGCCGCCACCGCCGCCCGCCACCGCCGCCGCCGCCCGGCTTGCCCCCGCCCCAGGAGACACTCACGTAAAGAACAACGAGATGCCCCAAGGAATTATGTCCCGCCATGCTGTCGTGACCTGCAGCCTCCTCCGCCCTTCTGCAGCTCGGCGACTGGGTCAGCCTCAAGAAGAGCACCGCGCTCGGCGCCTCTGCGACGGTCGGCCTGCCCGACAAGGCGGTCGCGCTGCTCGAGCGGGTGCAGTCAGACTCGCAGGCGATCGAGTTTGCGGAGGTGGTGTCGGTCATCGACGAGTGCTTCGACGTGACCGAGACAGCCTTCCGCGTGGGCGACGTCGAGTCCGCGGCGGGCGAGAACATGGGCTCGTCCAAGCTGCTCGCGTTTGGCAAGCTGGCCGGCCTGTCGGAGCAGGAGACGCTCTGCCTGTTCGGGCAGTACTACAAGGACGTGTGCGCGAGCCCGGCGGACAGCGACCACCCGAACATCCGCGCCTTCATGGCGGGCGGCTGGGGCGCGGTCCAGTTTCCGTGGGGCCTGTCCGTCTCTGTGCCGGTGGACGGCAAGGCGTTTGGCACGTCGAAGGACGCGGTGCAGTCGGCGCTCGAGGCGTCGGCGCAGATCTCGGGCGACGACGAGTGGGACCCCGACTCGGAGATCTGGATCCCGTGAGGCGTGTGGCCGCTTGGCGTTGCGGCCGCCTCCGCGCGCGCGACACGGGCGCCACGTAGCACATTCGCGTAAGCTGCTGTAGTCTCAATCTCTCGCGTGCCATGTGTACAATGACCCTAAAGGGTGTGGATGCTGGGTTGACGGAAATCGGAGGACGCGACCCACTTCGCCACAGACGGTCCCGCGCCTCGCCGCTAATATGACCGCTGGGCGCCGCTGGCGCTGCACGGCCCGTTGGCGTTGCCGTACCGTCCGCTGTGCAGCGGTCTTTGTCCGGAGTGAAAAGTCCAACGCGCTCGTCGGTGACGGTGTCCTCCAACCTGCGCCACGCTCGGCGAACCTCGACAGCGCCTTCGGTGGCATGCAGCTCTTTGCGCCTGAAGCTTGGAGAGCAGCTCCTCTGCTGCTCACACGCTCTGCACAGTTTTGGCACAGCTCTGTGCGGCTGCCACAGCTGTGACAGCGATGGGCTCGCCCTCACTGGCCCTCAGTCACTTGTGCTGCGGCTTGTGTGAGCGACACTGCTCGGCGACTGCCGGCACACTGTGAGACCATGGGTGTGAGGTAAAACCACGCTACCAGCGCTTGGTCACATCGGCCCCGAGGTCAGATCCATCTACTCTGTTGATGACAAGACTTGTCTACTCGCTGGAGCCGAGCAGGAGGGCCCGGCGCACAACCCCCTGGTCAACTCACCCTCCACACCCCGTACTCAATAATGAATAAAATCATGCTCTAGGCTAGTTCCAATTCACTCTGACACGCTCATCTTGAAAACGCGTCCAACGGAGCTCCGTGTTGCTCCCAGCGCCCTCCCCCGCGCTTCCTGCGGCCATGGCCGATGATGCTAGTATGAGAGGTCATCTGGCTCTACCGCGAGCGCGACTCAACTCGCCGACGTCGTCCGATGATTGTGCCGCAAAGTCAGCCTCCGGAGGCTATCGTGGGGTCGAGCCGGCGGTAGCCGTGACATGTGGTTCCACCACCCCTCGCAGGCTTTGCCTCTGACCGCCACCGTTCCCAGGCTGCCTAATGGGATGGAAAGGAAGGCTGGGCGAGCGTATAGAAGCGTGATCGACCTCGTCGTGGCAACCTGCACGGCAGCGCTGGCAGGCGCGATGAGCGTCGTGCCACCTGACCCAAGACGGGTCGCAGGCGCCGTACCGAGCGTGTCGAGACCGTGTCCTGATGTGATCTGCACGGGTGAGTCACGTCGGCGTCAAAGGAGCGACGTGCGACCTGTCAGAGCTTGATCTCCGATCTCAGCGGCGTCGAGTCGTCTCCGGCGGCGACAATTTTGTCCCTCCCCAGGAGCAGGACGCGCAGAGGCAGCTGAGATCGGAGATCAAGCTCTGACAGGTCGCACGTCGCTCCTTTGACGCCGACGTGACTCACCCGTGCAGATCACATCAGGACACGGTCTCGACACGCTCGGTACGGCGCCTGCGACCCGTCTTGGGTCAGGTGGCACGACGCTCATCGCGCCTGCCAGCGCTGCCGTGCAGGTTGCCACGACGAGGTCGATCACGCTTCTACTAAAGTCTCCCGCACTCACGTCTTCTTA